AGACTAACCTTGTAGCCTCCTCAGTAGAGTGCCCTGTCACAGCAACCTCAAACCTTGGGCTTAAGCGATTCTCTTGCTCCAGCCTCCCAAGTAGCTGGGACTATAGGTGCCTACCACAATGCCCAGCTTTAGAGATGGAGGTCTCGCTCTGGCTGAGGCTGGTCTTTAACCTGTGAGCTCAGGCAATCCACCAGCCTTGTTGGCCTACCAGAGTGCTAGGATTACAGGCATGAGCCACTGTGCCTAGCCAACATTTAACTATTCAGATACAGATAATCAAACTCCAAACTAAAAACAAAACAAACTTCTGGTGCTGGTGGTAAGGAATGGAAGCTATACCAGTACTTGCTTAAGTTCTAGAACATAAAGTGAAAAAAAAGGAGACAAAAAAATACGTATACTCAGATGGGTTTTTACTGAGTTAAATAAATGAATTCACAAGAGGAAATTTCAATTTTAGAATTCAAATGTATTGTTGCTATTTTTATTTTATTCTATATCATAGCTACTTTCTTACCAACTTTATTTTTGGACATAGGGTCTCATTCTGCTGCATAGGCTGGAGTACAGTGTTATCATCATAGCTCACTGCAACCATAAACTCTTAGGCTCCAGTGATCCTCCTGCCTGAGCCTCCTGAGTAGCCAGGAGTACAGGCACATGCTAACATGTCCTGCTAATTTTTAAATTCTGCTTTGTTTTTTGTAGAGAAGAGAGTCCACTATGTTGTTCAGGTTGGTCTCCAAACTCTTCTTTCAGATTGGTGCCCGTAGCACAGTGGTTACGGCACCAGCCACATACATGGAGGCTGGTGGGTTCAAATCCAGCTCAGGCCAGCTAAACAACAATGGCAACAGCAACAAAAAAATAGTTGGGCATGTGGCGGGCGCCTGTAGTCCCAGCTACTTAGGAGGCTAAGGCAAGAGAGAATTGCTTAAGTCCAAGAGTCTGAGGTTGCTGTGAGCTATGACGTCACATCACTTCATCAAGGGCAACATAGTGGGAGACTCTGTCTCCAAAAAAAAAAAAAAAAAAAAAAACCCTCCAAAACTCCTGGCTTTCTGGTGCCTGTTGTCCCAGCCGCTTAGGAGGCTGAGGCAAGAGGATCACTTGAGCCCATGAGTTTGTGGTTGCTGTGAACTAATGCCACAGCACTCTACAAAGGGCAACAAATCGAGACTCTGTATTAAAAAAAAAAACAAACCCCAAACTCTGGCCATTAAATAAGCCTCCTGCCTCAGTCTCCCAAGATGCTATGATTATAGGCATAATATACTGTGTTCAGCCCACTTCTTATTTTAACACCTTATATAATGTCCTCAGGATAAATATGCTCATGGAAACCAAAGTAAGATCATACTGGTTTTCTAAGATTCTATTAGAATTCTTTAAGAATCTTTTTTTTTT